GGTGCTCCCATTGATTAGAGATTCCTAAAGTGTCATTTTCAGGTGTCAGATTGGTGTCGCTCCTATATTATGTACAATTCTAATTTCAGTGGAAAAACCAATCTATATTTAAAAAAGCCACCTAATTGTTCACAGTAGAGTCCCATACTCTACTGAGCACTATCACATGTTCAGAATCTTGAATTTCTCAGTTCTTGTTCATGTACAATTCGTTAAACGTATTCCAGTATTATAAGTATGAACGTTAATACGTTTATAAAATACGTTAACTGTGCAACTACTATTAGGAACCCGCTATTTTTACACCTCAAGCTGATTTGCTTTTCACCTTGCTAGCTAGTTTTGTTAGCTTGAAACAGCGTGTATATTTCTATCTCAGATTCTTTCCTGAGTTGTTCTTAGCTAGCTATTCGAACTGGAAATGCTCAGCTAGCTATTCTAACTGTTTTAGCTATGGGAAGTGTTTCCCTTAGATTTCTCGTGTGCTATATTGTTGCGTGTTTAGTCTGTATTGTCTAGTCGTTCGTTTTTGGGTCCCTGACATTAGTGAATTTTCTTGTTCAAAAATCCCCAACATTGATTAATAAATCACAGTGGCACTTCTCAATTTTTACACCTTGAGATTACACTAATGTTCACCCAACAAGTTATAACACCCGGACACGTGTCCAGCTTACTTCTGGAACACGTTATATTCACCTTAGCTGTTGTGCTGAGGCCTCCTGTAATGTTGTAGAGTTTGTGGTTTCATTAAATTCCTTGTCTTTCTTGAGTTGTCCTCTTTCTTCTGCGGAGTTGGACTCTCAGTTCCTTCTTCTCGTCTGATAATAGTTCTCGTATCAGTTCCAAGGTTTCCACAAGATAGGAGTTCTTCTCTATCCACTTACCAGTATACGATCTTCAGTAAGATAGTATGTATTCTTGTCGACGTATCTAAAGATATTGTAAAAAATGTAGAGTATGGTGAGTAGCTGAAGTTACACGATAAAGGATACAATAGACCTCTTCTCAAGTACGGTTATCTCAGCTAGGAAAAATCCCTAGTCTGAGAGGACCGAACTGAGTCTTTATTTGTATTTTCTAATTCACTAGACACATGATTTTGCTTGAGTGTTTCTCTCACACGCGGAGTCCCGGGTTAGCTTACCGGTTCTATCGCTAATATTTCTGATGACTCTAATATCAGTAATACTACAATCCTAATTCCAAAACTCAATATTTGACGATCCTGGGGTTTGGGATTCGGATTGGCTTTTTGATAATCTGGTCCCTAGATGCTACATAGCGCCTAAATATCAATCACGTCCGGGATCGCGATTTTCAGGGCAATCACATAATTCAGCAAATGGTAGGAATTTACAACGAAGGGTTCCAACAGCCAATATATTACCTTCGCCAATGAACAATATGCAGAAGATGTATTGGCCACAGATTATACCTCAACCATACGGATTCCAGCAGCAGCAGTTTATGGCTCCACAATCAGTGGGTGGCTACCCACAGACCGTCATATCTCAGGTAGTTCTTTCGTTGAATCTTCCAGGCATGTATAGTAATGCACAGCAGCTAAGCATGTTTTAGGGTTTAGGGTTTAGTAAAACAACGCCATGCAACTGAATCATCAACAAGCCATAGAACAACATGAATCTCTCAATCAACAAACTTTCGAACGCCTTTGGATCCAACTACGACTAAAAATAAGTGTAGTTCGAGCACTGTCAATACCACACCAATCACGCATCACAGTTTGCACCACAGATAGACTTATCTTGAAAGATTATATAGCACATACAGACTTATTCAAAGATGTGGAAAACTTTAAACAATTCAGAGTCTACAATCTGCTACCTATAAGTGTGGGTCGTGTGTAGTGCGTATATATCGTTCTCGTTTTTTTCTGAGAGGGTCTTTCTCCTAGAAGCTAATTTGAGAACGTAAGTACATTATTGCAGATGGGCAAAGTTAACTACAGTGATCTGTTTCATTCACACATTAAATCTTTCACTTAGGTCCACTGGGCTATTAAACTAGTGAGTGATGATGGTAGTGATTTCAGGTTGGGCTGTGCTAGCCGTGCCTGAGGTATTCGATCACTAGGATGTGAGTCGCCGTGACGTGTATATCATGGGCGGGCTCGATCTCCGATTAGAGCCTGAGTTGACTAAGTATTTCAAGTATACTAGATGTGCGCGAACGGAGATCTTCTATCGCTCCAGTGTTATCTGAGTGGATACAGACAGTGCGGTCTCGGAACAGTTCTGGGTGGAGCCCTGCAAGGTATACCCAGATATTAATTCCAGTGCTGTGATCGAGTACCGCTCTTCTTGACGTGCTTGTTCACGTAAGAAGTGAGCGCTGGTTAATCCACGAATCGGGGTCACTTTCGGCGGTGGGGACCGCGGGGAAGGTGGTGGTCGACGCTGCGTCGACATAGAATTGGACCTGTAGAAATACGGCCTCCGGTCTGTCTAAAATATCAAGATCAAATGAGATAACACTTTGGTTTTTATTTGTATTTGAAACAGTTTAATACAAGTACTTTATCCAACATATCCAAAGTGTTCTAAATTCACTTCGATGGCTCCAATAGCCTGAGTATTTGGTATGACTCATTTACCTGGACCTATTTGAGACATTAGTAGATATAAGATATTAGTAGATATAGGTGATATTTTAAGTTGGTGTGAGTTTCCATTCCCAAAATTCGGGGATAATTTGAAACAACACTTTGTTCTCGTGTTCGAGTCCCATGAGAAGGACAGCATCCCGATGAATGGGGACAAGACGAAAGGCACTCATGATGTCCACTACTGATAGTGTATATCCCTCTGGGCGATTTATCACATCCACGATGCGTGCGTAGTTAATCTTGTGTATGTCGAGCTGTGCATTGATACCTAGGCCTAAGAGTCATGAGTACGATGGATTATGGCTTGGCGGTATTTAACTGTTCCGTCGGCTTTGTAAACACTATACTCTGCAAGGGAGAGATGTGGTAGTGTGGGAGGTCTCATATGCAATCAGCTTTTGAAAATCCTCCTATTGTGGAACCATTTTTCAGGTCCTCTTGCAATTATGATTTATGGTTCTTATAGAATACATATTGTGCGTGTTCACCATTGTAGCCATCTCGACCCCCTTGAGTCATCATAGTTAACACTGTCTCGGAATTCATATCCGTGTAGAGCTTTATTGAGGGTAGATATGGCACTGTTTGCAAGAACTGATACCCTGGTTGAATGATGAAGATCATACTGTGACCACTAGCTTGGCTGCAACGATATTCGCAAGACGTGTATGAGGCAGGTATTACTCCACAGCTACACGACGAGTCTTGCCTAGATCTGCTATCCCTTCTGGTTACTATTCTTTCAGTATTCGTAGATCATAACTTGATATTTAAGGTAATCAGCAATGCACTTGTACGTCATGCACTCCGCATTATCTAGCGAAGAGGCTGTAAAATGAGCCGTCCAAGTGGCAAACAAGTCTGGAAAAGACTTGAATGTCTCGTTTTCTTCTTTAGATGATAATGTACCATTCTCGCCTTGAGTGAATACGTTTATAAGATTTTGGGCGCCTGCATTTACACGAAGTACCTTTTTTTACACTTTTTTAAGAGGTTGGAACACCTCCAATGAACTTTCTTGCAAGTTGTTTGGTAGATCAGGGCGCACCGATCGGAGTTTGCGGTCGCTTTCAGCACGCATCTTCGGAATGATGTCATTAGCAGCATTATTTGCCATCTGATCGAGCTGAGCTTCCATAAGTTCCATCAAGTTCGCTTGAGTAGACAACATGGCTAGTACTGCTCCTCCCCATCTCTGAACAATGATATTGTGTCCGGCTTGTCGCCAGATTGCTGTGAGTCTATCAGTGGAGGTGTGGTGGAATCGTACGATACTGGCACAGCGGGGTTCGTCCTACTGCTCTTTGTCGGTTCTGGTGTAGTTTCGCCTATCACTTCGCGCCGGTCTCCGATCGTTTTTGGTTGGTCTGGGGTGTGTCTGTGCGTGTATTGTCCGTGGATACTGGATCAGACTGTTACCGCATTATCTCCTCTTCCTCTTCTGATGATCTGTAAAACTTAACCATCTCAAGGACAGTGACTGACTAACTGGTCGACCCTGTCGTGTGAGTATACATGTATGTTATTGATTTACCATAATTTGCTATATTTGCGTGAACTACCAAATTCATTAGTACGTTTTAAGTTTTTACCCCTGGGATAAATGACGTTCATCACTGAAACAAGTGATGATCTTTAAAACTTAATCATCTTAAACTATTGTGAACAGTGACTGACTAGCTAGTCGACCCTGTCGTGTGTGTATACTTGTATGTTTTTGATTTACCATATTTGCTATTTTGCGTAAACTACCAACCTACCAAATCCATTAGTATGTTTTAAGTTTTTACTCTGAATTTCACCCCTGGGATAAATGACGTTCATCACTGAAACAAGTGATGATCTTTAAAACTTAATCATCTTAAACTATTGTAAACAGTGACTGACTAGCTAGTCGACCCTGTCGTGTGTGTATACTTGTATGTTTTTGATTTACCATATTTGCTATTTTGCGTAAACTACCAACCTACCAAATCCATTAGTATGTTTTAAGTTTTTACTCTGAATTTCACCCCTGGGATAAATGACATTCATCACTGAAACAATATTAATGTTTTCAGCTAAAATACTATACATCGTTGGTATGTTGTATATTTATATTGACAATCTACTAAAATACTGGATATCGTTGGTATATTTTGTATGGTATATTATAGTTATATTATATTGACAATGTTGGCTGCAAGTTATATTATAGTGACTATTATACGGCATGTTGTAAATTATTTATGTTATATATAGTTATGAAAGTTATATTACGGTGACAATATTGGTAAATGTTTTGCTAAAATACTACGTATCGTCGATATATGTTGTATTTATATTGAAAGTATTAACAAGTCTTATGCTAAAATACTAAATATCGTTGGCATATGTTAGATTTTCATTGACTATATTAATGAGTCTTTTGCTAAAATGCTATATATCGTTGATGTGTTTTGTATTTGTAGGGACAATATTAATAAGTCGTCTGCAAGATAATAGATATCGTTGGTATTATAAGTCCTATTATGTTGACATTGTTGATAAGTCTACTGCAAGATATTATATCATCGTCAGTATATGATAAATTTTTATCCACAATATTGCTAAAAAACCTTTTGCTAAAAAATGGTTTATCGTTAGTATAAATTGTATCTCCGTTAGCATTTTGATAAATTATCGTCATTGGTATATGTTAAATTGTATAGACAATATTAAAACGTGTGCTGCTAAAACCCTATATATCTTTGGTTATATCATATTTAAACAGGCATTATCTGTTAGACTACTATATATCGTTAGCAATCATTTGGTGCATGTTATATTCATGTTGACAACAATAACAAGTCTTTTTCTAAAATACAATATATCGTTGGAATATTCATATTTATATTGAGAATCTACTGATATAATGTACATCTTTGGTATATGATATATTATATTGACAATATTAAGTGCGATCTGTTAAAATACAGATGTATATCGTTGGTGTATGCTATATTTATATTGACAATTTTTCAAAATGTCTGCTAAATATTACATTTCGTTTGCACGTTTAATTATGTTGAAAATATTCAATAGTCTTGTACTGGAATACAATACATCGGTAAATTTAATATTGTCACAATTAAAAATAAGTCATCTGGTGAAACGCTTCATATCGTCTTCTGCTAAAATACTATATATCGTTCGTATATCTGTTACATATGTACTGATAATATTTTATAATAAGTCGTGTATTGAAATAAAATATGCCGTTGGTTTATGATACATTTGAATTGACAATAACAACATTTCCGTTGAACTACTATATTTGGTTGTTTAATATTGTGTTTATATTGGCAATATTTTAATATATGTTTTCTGCTGAAACATTATCCTTGGTATATGCGATATTCCTTGTCACAATAACAAGTATCCGGCCAAAATACTGTATATATATAGATATATGTATATATATATATATATATACACACACACACACACACACACACTTGTACCCCCCAAGCTTGCTCGCTACAGCAGACCCGAGTAGCCATACCAGTGTAGAGTGCATATATCACACTCTCTGTGCATACACGATCTCTGATGTTGCCTTGCACGACTTCTTTGTGCACAGAAAACAAACACGGTAGTCAGCGTGTTGTTCCATGCTATGTTGGCAAAGCCTGCGTTCAAGTGCAGGTGACCATGCCAGGTCGAGTCTTTGCTCGACTCCACACATGCTTTCGTGGAAATTCTAACAAAACCGTGCACTACGGTGAGAGCGATACTATTTGCAATTAGAATATTTGAATCACGCCCCGCCCCGAGCAATCCTCGTGCAACAAGTACGTGGAAAGTACAAACCTTCTGCCACTTGCACGATAGAGTAAGTCTTTGTCCGATCTATGCCTCTCCTATTAAACTTTATCATCCAGGAATCCACTCAATTCATTTGATAGACGAAAAACAGTGTCTTCGGGGGAGTGCACTAAACTACGCTCCCATCAAAGTGTCATCAGCGATGTAGCTTGAAGACCAGCCAACTTCAACCACGCCGCCTACGCTGTCCAGGCAGCTTTTGAAATTGCACCATAATCTGGCATTTCTTCCGTCAAGAGCACCCGGCACCTTCGAAACAGAAGGTACAACATGAAGCAAAGTGCAATCAGGTATGGCATGTCTGGCGCCACTTCCTCGTTCATGGAACGACAGTACCGAAACGCATTCTTCCTAATGTGTGTAAAAAAATCTTCGAGTTCAAACAATACCAGACGCCCGGCTGCACATGTGTGCTTATTTGCATGACCAGGCTTGTTACCTGTGATAGAGTAAGGTTTTCCGCCCTTCTTGCATTCATCGTTGGTTTGGTATACCCAGGATAGTCTCAGATCACACACAGGAGCGTAAGCATATGACGCTACCAATCCACCATGGGGGGCACCATATGGCTTGGCTGTGTATGGTAACAAAATATATATATAAGAAAGGGAGGTAGGATGCATACTTTAGCACACATACAATTCAGGTATGATTACACACGCACAACACGAAGATCTCAGACATTGATTTCGTTGATCAATTCGGTCATTTCGCAAGTACCGGTTTGGAATATCTGGACAGCAAACATGAGGGCAAGACGACATGATGGTGACCTATCTTCTAGACTCTTCCGAAGTCGTGTTTGATAGACGCGCTTCTACGAGATATGACGTCGCTGAGCTCAGAATTGCCATGATAATATACAGCAAACATACTCCACAGAGCTTAAACAATAATATACATATTCAGTGTAAGGGGTGCCCTTTAATCAGCTTCATATCATCGTAGTCCTGGCAACGAAAGTCTGTTGTATACCACCGAACTGTCGTGGTGAGTTGTTCAGCCATAGTTCAGCTCAGGATCAATAGCAAATATAGAGCCTTCTTATTGTAATTGTCTTTTAGTACCTTGCTGACGCGCAATATGCCTGAACTCGTAGAGATCAGTTTTCGTTAAGCCTCGTTGGATAAATCGCGACCTTCTGTACAGTTGGTAGAGCGTGGCGTAAAATGCATCGCCGAATCTCGGTTTCGCGTGGTACATGAAAAGGGGGGCCACCTGATGTGCAGTGGGTAGGAATGGAGCTAGTGAGGCAAATCGTCGGATTGTAATTTTAGCGGAGAATGGGACAAACACAATACCCGATAATACAACTAGCCTCTACGGAGATGAAAGAGGAAAAAAATGTGATCAGGCACACTAGATTAATCTCTACTTAGAGACTGTTCAAATACCATACTCACCAAATACACTTTCATCAACAAATGTGCTCTTCTGATCATTATACGTAAAACACTTGAGTCCAGATAGAAGGTTTCTTCACCGTTGGCCAACGGTATCTAGACTAGACCGGTCACATACTGCAAATATTTCAATTCGTATAGGTATGAACCAGGCATAGGCTGGTACATATAGTTAGCAATTTGCACGTCAACTATACGTAAATACCAAGGCTATCCGTTGATTGGGAACATGAATGCGTGGGTTGTACTCGTTCCAAGGACAGGCGAATATCAAGCATCTTCATTACTTTCTTTCAAGGTCAATATAGCTGAGCACGAGACTTCAGAGCACAACTTGATCATTGGCTGATAAAATGTAGGTGTGCGGTCAGGATTGGAAAACCTTTTGTAGTTGTCAATTTATCGACAACTGGTAGATATATTTTCAAATAGACAGGTCAATGAGGTATTTCGATCATGCATACCTTATGTAAATTATTGCGTAGATGCTGCTGTCTCTGTTTGGATACGGTTTGCAGCAGCTCCGGAAGATTCGATATCTGTGCAAACAGCCAAATTGCTCATAAATTTAAAAAAAATTCTGACGAAACTTTTACCCCGCTCCCGAAGCCAGGTACAATTACTTAGAAAAATAGTTTATACGGACAATCGACTTGTAGTTTAGTTATAGCCTGCCATGGCATAGACCCATTGCATAAATGATATTTGAGATTTTTCTGGCACACGAGACGCATGTGCGCCTCGCAAGCCTCAACTATTAGGAGTTGACGACTGCTTCACTCTACGCCAGGGGGAGCGTAGAGATCCTCATGCCAAAACGTGGACTGCTCGCTATAGTCTGCTTGTCGTGAATTGTCATCCGTTCCCGTGGATATGGTTGAAAATGAACGACAATCCATGGCTCGTTACACGATTTATACAAACTCGAATTCATATTTTAAACGAGCAGACTGCTGCTATGTATTAAACCACGCCTTGACTGATGTAAATACCAGGAAAAACAATATCAGCCTTATAACAGAGATAAACACCAACGAACACCCTTTCACACCTCTTCAATGCCGATGCCGATACTAAATAAGCGCCAGTCCACCATCCCGCTGAGTGGCAAGAAGTATTCACTGCCCACCACCACCGGTATGCATCCGAACCAGATATACTCGATCAGCCGAGGACTCCACGTCGCATGTCCTGAGGTGAACAGAGATAGAAGAGTCGTAGATGTAAACCTTGATGTTCAGACTCAATCCGCCAAAATATCAAACTAATCTGCGCGCGATGGCGTGGCAAACCAACAGATCTAGTATTTTAATCTTTACATTTTGATCCCACACCATTACCACTATAGTACACATATTGTACCTGGCAAGTGCAAGCAATACGTGTGTCGTTTCAGGGCGAAGATGTATCGTTCCGGAAGTAATGCCTTTCCGTGCAGATTAAACAGCGGCGACTCTTTCAGCTCGTCAAAAATAGCCTAAATTGGGAAAGTTGAGAATATCACGACTCAAATTCACAATAATCGACTTACGTAGTCTTTCGCCAAAAGCATTTCATACTTTAAATATAGCCATGGGTGGACCCCAGGAAGGATGTCTACACTAACTTGTACACATGTTTGAACTCGGAGAGACACACTAGAAATGGAGTCCTGAGTGTATACACACCTGCCTGGTGGCATGGCTTTTCGGATTGCCAGCGAAGAACACTTTGTGATCCCTTGGCCTGGCAGCATTTCCTTCGCCCCGCATCTCCTGTGTGATTGGCAAGTACAATTTTATGAGCATGGCCACGGCATACTATCCAAATTGAGAACATCATATTGCTAGATTCGGTTTCTCACTGTTTTCGTGTATTTGTTTTTTAGAACGAAATTCAAATATAAGAATATACATCTTCACACACACCCACACCCACCTACCCACCCACACATATAATATATATATATATATATTTATACATATATTTGTATATATATAACTATGCAATATGTATATATATAACTATGCAATATGTATATATACATATATGTATATATACATATACACATGTATACCTACACATATACATATACATATACATATACATACATATAAATATATACATATGTATAATATAAATATTATATATATATATATATATATATTTGTATATATATATATATATATAAATATATTTGTATATATATTTATATATATATATAAATAGGGCATATATGCATATACACATACATACCTACATTTATATATATGCTTATACATATATATTTATATACATATACATATATATATATTATAAATATATATAAGTATAAATATATAAATATATGTATATATATATATATACATACATAGATATACATATATACATATACATATATATATATATATACATACACACACACACA